ATATCTGTCTGATGATGTGATGGCCAAAATACGTTGTAAAGGTGCATTTTCTCAACAGCTAGTTATATGCAGAGATTATTAATTTCTAGCTGCAGTGCATGAATGTGGTACAGATGAAAATTCCTTTGGACTTTCAAGTAGTCAAATCACATCTCAAGTCTCATTTGCATTCTTCTAGTCCCTCAACCTTTTTGCCAGTCCTGTTTTACATTTTTCTTTCATCTATTTAATTATGTACGTGTTGGAACTATGAAAAATCCTAATCACTCATAATTTCCAACTGAATCTAGTATATTTTGTTTATGTTTATAATATACATATATTATTTTTTTTTATAATCAAGATATTTTTAATACGATAGGTGGTATTTAATTGTCCCAAGTTAGTATAGTTGAAAACATACTTTCTCTTAAAAATGATGCATCTTTTTATCCCACAACATGAGGAATTTTCTAACATCTAAAGTGCTTCATTCCAGTGCTTGGGTTTGTCATATTGTAGTTGGAGTAATAAGATGCTTTCTAAATTGGGATTGGCAGCCAAATCATTCAGTGTTGCAAATCTGCAATTTGGGTTTTCTTAGAGTCACCATCTGGGTCTGCTTTAGCTACAATTTTACAATAGAAATGGGAATACAGACAAGACAATTTACACTTTTGAATGGCATGAATGATGTGGAACAACCCAGAAACAAATATGAAAAGTACTGGAATGTCCCCATTTCATTTTTCTTTTCTTCTTTTAGAAGACTGGTTTTAATTACTGTTCCTTATTTGTTGAACAGTAAAACAAAAGAGAAAAAGAGTATTTAAATGTTAAATGTAATATTGTTCACTGAATTGGTTAATTCATTTTCTTCTTCATGCCAATTCCAGTTGAATATGCTTTCAAATGATTTTCTGCATGTGTGTTAGTAAAGCAGGAACAAGTTTGGTCCGAGTGCCTTTAGCTTAATGGCATCTCTAGGTGTATGGCCCAAGCTTCCCTTCCTTTCTTACTATGAAAACAGTGGAAATGTTTGTAGGAGCACTTTTTCTTCACTTTACCTTCATCAACTTGGTTTAGTATGAGCTCTTCTCATGTTCACCATTTTGTCAAGAATGTACCCCACAGTTCTCAAGGCCATTTCTGCTGGGCAGAAGGAATTTCTTCCACATTGTTAGGAGCAAAGAACATTGCTCAAGTCCTGGGCTCCACAGCCTTCTGTGCATACTGTCACCTCCCACCCCTTCATAGCGTGACTTCTTATCACACACCCCCATAGCAGCAGCAGGACAGCTGTCTGGATCATTTATTCATGGTATAATAGTCTGAAGCAACTGAAGTTGTCTGCTTGATGACTCAGAGTTCCTATTACCTTCAAAAGGATGATCTGCTGTCACTTATGAATTCAACACCCCCCCCACAGGCTCTCTGCTATCTTCTGTGCTGCAGGTGGAGTAGACATAGTCTCTCTCAGAGCCTTCTCATGAGCCACAGACCATTCACGATTTAGCCAGAATGAATGCAGATTATTATATGAGCTCCTTCAGAGGGAAGTGTGTTTTTGTGAACGCTCTGGATGAGAGTCCTCCAGATTTGGCTCCAATTATTTTATAAATCAAATATTTCCACTCTGTCTCCTCTATCGTACTTGATGTACAAATACAGCTATTGTTGGGAAGACTGAAACAATGTTAGTAATTGCATCCTTCCACACTTATTCCTACTCAATAACACACCTTGAACATAGTCCTCTGCTAAACACTATTTGCAGGAAGTTACATTATATAAAGTCTCTGCTTTGACAATAACTATGAGCTATTTCTCAGCATCCTGATACTGAGTTCTCCCAGGAAGCCAATTCAGGTGCTTCTAAAATATACTGCTGCTGTGTCCAGAGTCAACAAGTAAGGCTTTGCCAGTACACCCTAACTTTTCCAGGAGAGAGCTGCCTCCTGGGATTAGTGCACTGACCGTGGCCTGTTTCACAGGAAATCTTGGAAGTTAAACAAACCAAGCTCAGTTGTTTCAAACTGCTAGACCATGACTAGAAGATCTAGACAGCTGTCTTAATAATAGCATTTCAACAACAGTCTTCTTTGTGTCAGTCTAACAAGAAATGTCAGGCTTTATGTTCCAGATACCCGGGTCTGTCTCTGGAAAGTTACTGATTTTTCAGACTGACGACTCTTTTCTCATTTCTTCTTTTCTTGAAAGTGTTTCTTTTGGGTTTTTGTTGTTGTTGTTGTTGTTGGGTTTTGTTTTGTTTTGTTTTGTTTTGTTTTCCCTGAAGGAAAAGACAGAATTTGGGTCCTAGGAAAAGGCAGAGTTTTGCTGTGCTCATTACAGAAAATCTCACAGTGAATGCCAGACTGTATGAAAAATGCTTTTGGACCATAGAAGGAAACTTCTTTTAGGGTCTTCCCAAAATTAGACCTTCCTTTGAGATTCCTCAACAATTCCCATTTAAAAAGTAGCCAGACAGAGTCCCATTCACTCTTTTGCTAAGCATTACAAATTTACTAAAGAAGGAGGAAGCAATTCTATGTCCAGAAGAGCTGTCTGTGAGAGGATCTTCTCACAGAATTCTTTTCAGGAGTACTACACATAAATAGACTGTGAAAGGAAGGAGAAAGGATATTTGCCTTTTTTCTTAGAGTATATATATTTTACACAACGTATCTCCAATACTTCTATTTCTGTTCCATATCTAGTCTAATTTCAGGACTGAAATAACTTTCTGCTCCATCCCTATTTTTACCATATGTGCTTTCTTTACCATAAAGAGAAAGAAGGAAGGCATGTCTTCAAACATAATGCCAAAGTAATAAATAAATAATCTCATAAAAAATACCAACAGTTTTGGCATAATAATATCCACAGTTTGAATGCAAATGAAGACAGTGGATTTTGAAGAACTATTGCAACCACAAAATCTATTTTTATTACGCTATTCTATTCCCACTGATCTCGCTTCCTCTGAAACCAGTAGAATTCTGGCATTAGTTTCATGAGGAGTAGTGCCAGTCTTGCAAAGCCTATTTGGAACTTTGATCCTGCTGATGCTGTGTTTAGGAATAGGCATACTGAGTTTATGCATGAAGTAAATCACCTGTGTGAATGCTTGCAGATAGATTATTAGATTCTGATCTCACAAGTATTTGTTATTAAATTCAACTTTGTAAACAACAGTTCAAACTGTATCAGTAGTTTTAAAGCCTCACAGTGAAGGATCTTAACACCTACACTGCACTTTGAACTTGGTCCTGTATTTTCTTCACTGACTCGTACTGTTGGCTTGTAAGATACTTAGATGGAGCTGATTTTCCACAGGCTGAAGATAAGTTACTTTCTCATGCTTTGACAGGACATTTGTGTGTGGCTGAGTATTTAATATAATCTATTAAAAATGAAAAGTATGAACAATTAATTTTACTGTTTTTGGAAGAGTATCTCATGTTTCTAAGAAATGGCATATATATTTTTCATATTTTTTATGTCAACTAAATTTTAAATGAGATTGAAATTGCGAATGTGGGTAGAAAATGTGCCTGCTCAGCTGTGTAAAAGGATATATTCAGATTTTAGCAAATCATAGGTGAGGCTCTTCAAATAAAGCAGTTAACTGATAATGATGACTGTCAATTGAAGTAAACTATTTCATGTACATACAGGATTTTCTTATAATTTTGATTAAATGAAATCATATGCTCTATTGTGATTTTTTTTTATTATTATTATTTAAGTCTCCTTTTGCTATTAGCATTCATGAGTCCCATTCTAAGGGAATGTGAAATCTACCTTTTTGTAACATTGCTTCCTTCTGCAGAGATAAGCTTGATGTTTAACATTACCTTACAAAGACATTGTTTCCATAATCTATACTTATTAGAGAAGGATCTTTTGCTTTTACTCTCACTGATCTACATGCAATGAGATGTCATAGGTACATTCCTCTGGCCTTTATGAACTTCTAAATGTAACTGTTGCTGAGTGCCAGTTTTTTTTTTTTTTTTTTTTTAATTGCCTACTGCTCCACAAATGTGGTTCTCATTTTCATTGTGCCTGTTTTTTGAGAAACACAATCTAGGTATAAAGAGAGAAGCAGTGAAAAGGAAATTAGTTGCTGGCGGCACTACATCAGAAGAATTATTCTGTTATGACTATAAACAGTAGCATCAAATGAAAAAATAGGCTTTCAAATTAATTAGCATTTAAAGGAAATGGTTTTGGAATAATTATCAGATTGCTTTTAAGTGGCTACATTTACAAGCACATCTTTTCTTTCTAATATGTCCTTGGTAGGGACAAATAACAAATGCACATACATTTTGAGTTTTGATTTTGTCCTGTGTTCATCCTTTTTTGAGAAAGAATAAAAAAAGAAAATGAGTTGCCCTGTTCCTCTTAACTCCAGTGCAAGTCAGACTTATTCCTTCTTCCTAAAAGCAAAGAGCCTTTTAATGCTCCTGTACAGGTAAGGGTAAGAAGCCTACTGAGGTCTTCTGTACTATGACTGTTCTAATATTCTTTTGGTAAAGGACCTCTAAGTAAATAGACTGTACTAACAGTCGATCTACAAGGATACCTCTCTGTCAGCCCATTAAGACTATTGTAGCCATGAATATACCAGATCTGAGCCACTATTCATCACTAAGCAAGCACTGTTTCATAACTTTTCTCTTTTTCCCTGTGAGCTTTTCTAGTGCTTTACAAAGTAACAGGCATAAGTGATCACGTCAACAAAAGCTGTGCATTAACTTCTGGGGAGCCCATTTTAAATAATCTTACAGAAGAAGTAGTAAGTCTTTTATTATATGCTCATTTTTCCCCTTGAATATTCCAACTCTATAATAAATAAATAAACAAACAAATCATAGCTTATTGTCTTCTTCCTGCAAAGATGGCAATAGCTAGGAAGAGAAAAATTACAGCTCCAGCTAGCTAGACTGCTGTTATGATAAATGTGTAATCATTGTACATTTGCATCTACTCTGTTTAATATTTTTCATATACAGATATTTCATCGATTGGAAGAATGATGTGGACAGCTACTTTACAATAGATGCTAATGAAGGAACCATTGCTACTAATGAATTACTGGACAGAGAAAGCACAGCACAGTACAATTTCTCTATAATTGCAAGTAAAGTTAGTAAGTATGACACAAACTGAATTAATATGCTAATGTGTTTGTTTTTTTTCAGAATGTAGTGCTCGAGCATAAATATACTATGAAGAGTGCATATATTACCAAGAAATGATTTAGAAAGGCTCAATAAATATCATTTTCCCAGATTGACTATAAGGCTGTATGACATTCAGATAGGCCTGTACAGTAATTGTTTTCTAGTAGTCCTCGTGAAAGAACAACTCTTTCAGAAGCTAAAAAAGCTTATCAACAAGAATACTTGAAATCAGAAGAGAATGTATAGAGACCTTCCTCTATACATACACAGTCATTTAATTTTCAGACAAGAATTACAGTAAAATTGAGTCACAATAGCATGCTAATAATTTAGAGCACTAAATGAATCAACTTGTGTGCTGTCTCTTTGACTTTGAATTTTCTCTCTGCCCAAGACTTTCTTCTTAACCACTTGTTTTCTATTACTGTATTGTTGGTTTTGTTTGCTTTATTCCTTTATGCCTTCTCCCATAAAGCTTTTATTTTCAGATAAGAGCTCCCTTCTTCTCATGTATTAAGTAGTTCCAACTTTCTCCACTGTCATCCTGTGTAGCATTTGTAGCATTCTTCCTTTGTGATCCTGTGAAACTGAAAGTCTGGTAGGCATACACTACTATTCAAATGAGAATTTTGGTCTTCTAGATGTGAAAAGACCACAAAAATCTTTCTTGGGACATAATAGGCTGTACAAAAATATGCCTGGTATATTTCCTATTCGTTCTGTATTGTTTGTGTGTCCAGAAAAACAAATAACTTATTTTCCTCAATATATTTATTGGCACTGAAATTTACTTTCACTTACAAATACTTATAAATGTCTACACTTACCTAAGTGTTAATATAAATATCAGCATTTACACTTTTCTCAAGAGCAGATGTCAAGTGAATGAGGCCAGGCTGTTTTGGTGGTGCCCAGTAACAGGACAGGCTGTAATAGGCATGAAGTGGAACACAGGAAGTTCCATCTGAGCATGAGAAAGAACTTCTTTGCATTGAGCTAAATATAGAGCACTGGAACAGGCTGCCTAGAGAGGCTGTGGAATCTCCTTCTCCGGAGATATTCAAGACCCACCTGGACACTTTCCTGTCTAACCTGCTGTAGGTAACCTGCTTTAGCAGAGGGGTTGGATTCAATGATCTCCAGAGGTCCCTTCCAACCCCTGTGACTCTGTGATTCTATGATTCAATATGTAATACATTCTATTAACAGCAAGAGGGAGATATTGGAAGCAAAGAAAACATTTATTACTTAAAATAAAAATAGCTGTAGTTATCTCAAGGAGAACCATGGGATCACTATCTGAAGTTTGAAAAACTAACAGGGACACTAGTCAAATGAACACTTGAATTTTATCCTTAACTTGAGATAGGAATAGACTAGCAGAAGAGACTAAACTTTCACAAGTGATTGATTATATGGAGGTATAAGAATTTGTATATACTGAAAGTCCAGAAGAATTGCACTTCATTTTCAGAGAAACTGAAAGGCTGTAGTGAAGAAATCTTGTAATGCTCTACATTTCTGTAATGCTTAATTATTTCTGGTGGATAAGGATCTCCTGAGAATTGTAAAATCTTTCTGCAATAAGGTTGCAGTTTTAATAAACTTAATAGGAATCTGTTTATTATTCCCTAGAGTAATTAAAGCTAGCTAAAATCTCCAAGTTTACATTTCTACATAATATTATGCAAAACTGAAGCAGGTAGTCTATATTATGAAATTCCCAATTTCAACACTTACCTAGTTAAGACTCTACACCTGAGACATATGTGCAATTCATTTTAGCATACATCAAAATATTTATAAAGCATTATCCATAGCAATACAAATAATTGCTGTACCTGTACTAAAGCAACATTGGAACATTTTGGAAGATTTAATTTATGTTATCTCAGAACTTTATATGCAGGTGTATAAGAAATAACACAGAAATAGACACCAGGTTTGAGAAACAGGACACTACACAGTGAAGAAGGCCAAAGAGAAGAGTGGGAACATCTGAAGTAAAAGAGGGAAAAATAATATTTTGGGGAATTTTCTGCTACAAAAAAGATGTGACCCATTTAGTGCTTATATAGAAACAGTGCAATAATCATCTCTTATAGTAACAGGATGCTGAACAGCGCTTTAACATATACCTGATTACCAAGTGGTCTAGTATTGCAAATGGTTGCACAAACTTGCTCCAGGACTTTAATTCTTACCTAAATAGTTTCAACTCTTGTTGAGCACATCTATTTAAAATAAAGAGATTTCAAACTATTAATAGCCATTTTAATTTCTGTTAATCACTTGCTAAAATACTTATTTTTCGTTCTCACAACATTTTTTTTTTTTTTTTTTTTTTCATGATGGAACAAGAAAACAACTTTCAGATAGCTCCAGTGCCCTTAGCCCTGGGGTTTTCTAGTGGTTGCCCCCACTGGGCTTCTGTAGTTTTAGAATGAAACTCTAAAAGAATCACAGATTATACTCGTGTCACCTTTTTTTTTGTACAGTCTTACAACTTCTAAGCAAAGAAACTTACTTTCAAACAAAGGCAAGCAGTTTAGATAGCTAAATATAGCAGCAGACAATATATAAATGTAAATGCACAATTGGATGTACCATTTAGACTTTTCTGATAAGCTGATAATATTTTTAATTAGGGAAAACAAAACAAAACAAAACAAACAAACAAAAAAAACCCACCAGACATTATATTTTTTAAAGGAATATATTTCAAAAATGAGGCAGATGAGAATTGCCTTGTGTAAATCAGTGTGCCCTTTGTTGATATGAGCCGTTACAGAGAAAAATAATTTCTTTTTTAAAAGCTTTTCTGTTTGGGAATTTGTAAATGGTTTTATGTCCAATGTCCTCTTTCTGCTTTATTTATTTACTTTTTTTTTTTTTTTTTTTTTTTTTTTTTTTTTTTTTTTTTTTTTTTTTTTAACACAGATATACTGCAACTATTCTTCCCTAAACTGTAGGTTCTGTCTTTTCATTCCTACTTATACCAAATGTGGTGTGGATTGGCAGCTTGACCAGAGGCCAAATTTTGGCCCTTAGCAACAAGTTGATTATTAAATTTGCTTGTTATAGGCCTGCTTGTGTCAGTTCGTAGGTGTGAGAAATCCTGATTACCCAAAAATAACATCAGAAATTTTGCATATGGACAGAAGTATCTGGCTCCATGTAGGGAAATCAGATATGGGAAATTATTCTAGCCATGTTACTGAGTGACCAGCTCTAACCACATATCACTATATTGTTGTTTATTTTTTATTTCTAACCTGAAAAACTGACAAATATCTGTTTCAAACATGATCTCTGAATCTGTCTTCAAATAGCAGAACAAGTACTCAGTGTGGAGTGATGGATGCCTATTGTCGTATTTAAAACAAGACACCATAACCTTGTTCTTTACCCTTGTTAAGGAAGCTCATCCCAAAGTAGAAATATTCATTTCTGGAAAGCGGATGACTGTTCTGCTAACATGCAGATGATGACACAGACATGAAGGCAGGAGAATGCAAGCAAAAAGTCTCTTACCCATCTGTTGAAATAAAAAATTAGCCTCCACGTAGAACAAAGTACATGAACAGGAAGGGGATGTTTCAAACCCCTATTTTTTCCCATTTCATTTACCAGTTTCTCCTTACTTGAACTTCTTTTCTCTACTTTTCATTTTGGTTTTGTTTTTCTCCTAATGATTTCTTCTAGTAGCTTCCACGCTTCCCGCTTTTGAACATTTTTGATTCCACAAATTCTGTCCAGAGTAATAAATTACACTTGTCTTGCATTTTTTTCCTGGCGCTTAGGCCAGCTGGCACTGAGTAGTATACTTCTATGCCATTAAATACTCTGGCCTTCCAAACAGGGTGGCAACGTGTAAATGGATTTGCTGAGCTGTTCTTCATTCATACTAACTCTCACTACATGAAAGTGAATTACCTGAAAGACCACTAGTTTCCTCAGGCCAGAACTGTGCCACGAAGTTGCTGTAAGAATTTGACAGTATAAATAATCAGAATTCAGTACTCACAAAGGTCCACAGTGTCATGCTAAATTACCAAGAATGAAAATAGTTTCTGTACTTGACAGAAGAAGAAATAGGTTAAGTTGTGTAACATCTTATTTCTGTAGAAATACTGCTAAAGAAATATGATCTTAAATTTCAAGATGATGTTTATCCTCTCCTGCATAACATAGCTGGGATTGAGACCTCCTCGATGGTCAGCATTTGGTTTTTCTTTTTTTTTTTTTTAGATATCTTGTATTTTCACAGTCTCATTCATTCAAGTATTTAATAGTTTCTAGTCCTGTAATATCTTTGAACTATGAAGATGTTACCAGACCCTGGCACTCAAGCAAAAGAAGGAAGCAGTGTTGTCACTGTCTTACAGACAGGAAAAATGATGAAGAAAGAAACTAATTAATTTGCCTGTCATACAGATAGAACTGAAACCTGAAACCAGCTTCATAATTCCTATGCTAATGATAAACCACTTGTCCTCTTCTGTGGGTAATTTGAGTTTAAATGGCTTAAGTAGATGGCCTGAGTGACTCATTCACTGTCACAAGCACACACATCACTACTATGCTCACAGGACTCAAAATGATTTGATTTTCAGAGAAAGGGCAAAGAAGAAACCAGAGAAGATTAAAGTAAACTTTGTGAAGTGCTTTTTGACCCCCCCCCCCCCCCCCCCCCTTTTTTTTTTTATCCTTGTAATGCGAGTCTTTATATAGGAATCCAAAGCTGTACACAATATTTTAGCAGTCTTCCTTCTTATACATGAGTAGTTACACAGATACCAGTGTAAGCCAGCATGAAAAAGAAACAAACACATAACAAGAAAGTACCTCTATCTTTTGCTATAGTAATCTTATTTTCATGTTTGATTATTGCCGACCATTTATGTAAGACATTCTACCTTGCTACAATAGTTAGCAAAATAGATATGCATGCGCCTTTCAAGGAATCACAGAAAATAACTTGCAAACTATCGGTGAGAAATAAATGCAAAGAGTGTGTACTTCCAAATCATACTGCAGTGATTAACTAATACCTTCCATGTACATGATGCATGAATTTTGAATACATTCATTCTTGTATAGAGTTCTAAAAAAAAAAAAAGAAAAATGTCTATGCCTGTACTTTCACAGATGAATTAACCTCTAATATGTCTGCAGAATGTATTGTATACTTCTGCCATTCCATTCAGCTGTAGCTTAGGACAGATGTGCAGAACCTGAAGGAAAGCCTGGATTATTTGTGGCAGTTAATGTGCACTCTACATGGTTACTGCTAGAAGGGAGGTTTAAGATTTGTGGGTTTGATTTCTGCAAGCAACTTTAAACACAATCTCCTCAGGATTTAGTTCATCTCTGTCCATATTCAGAGATGTGGTCCTACTTTCCATTGATCAAAACAGCCTCTTCTGTTTCCTCCTAGTACAGAGGAACCAGTTCCAATGTGGGCAAATGATTCAGATTTCTTCTGGCTCTTTGGGCATCTAAAGAATTCCTGTCCTCTTTCCAGCTGCTAGACTAAGACCTATTCGCATTCATACTGCACAAAGCTTTTTTACAGAGACCTTCTTCATGTGCTTGTGGTTACTTGAAAATGACTGAGCATTCAAAGAGCATGAAAACTGGTATAAATTAGATATGTTCACAGAAAGAACTAAAAGTATTGTGAGATTTGGATAGTGTTTTTGTGTGTCTTTATTTAGAGTTCAAGCTGAGTTTTTAGGATGGTTGGTTTATTCACTATATGCAAGCAAGTAAAGCATACCTTTACTTGCAGCTGTTGTTATTTAACTAGGAAATCATTTTGACTTTTTGGCTTTGACAGGGATTCCTTGAAAACATTAAATTTAGTAGTTTCTAAGAACAAGAAAGAAATCATGTAAAATTTTAACAGTGCTACAATGAATTTCTTGGTGATGAGTTGCAATGTATTGTTGACCTGCTAAAAGACTTTCCCTGCTGTTGGTTATAAACAATAGATGTGCAAATGTTTGTATGAATTACAGTTAGCGGTTAGCACAAACAATATAAATGGGCCATTTCTATGTGAAGATTCAAGAAAACTCTTCTTGTTCTTAGCCAAGACCCCGTGCTGTCATTCCTACACTACCATGCTTCAGGCATAGATTTCTTCAATAATTAACTGTTTCTCTATAGTCACTGCCTCTCTTTAAAATTACAAGGGATAAGTACATTATCTTTTTGACTCACCAGCTAAACTGTTTTTATGTACCTGTTACTTTCAGAGGTGTCTAAACATAAAATAAAAGGCAATTTTATCTGCTTTGTATTGAATTTATATTACCTGTCTGTCAGACACTGAGCTTGCAGATAATCTTGTATATAAAATACTTCTAGTGACTAAATTATATCAGCTAGGAAATTATGATTATCTGCATTAGAACGACAATGAACAGACACTGGTATGTACAATTTTTACCATTTATTTTGCACAAAGTATTTGCTACTTGCAAATATTTATGCAATTATGTAAGCATGGCAAAGCTTAATAATCTAACCATGAATTGAATCCTATTTCTATATATTTCACTGCTAAATTTTCCACTGACTCTCTGGTTTCCAGCATATATTTTTTCTTTATTTCATTTTCTCTCACTTTTCTCCACCTACTAAATACACTACTTACCTCCTTAATAGCCTGAAAATGTAAACAGTGGATAAATAATATTGATTTTTTTCTGTATTCCATTGTTGAAAACAGAATTCAGTTTTAATTCTTGGCAGTGTTTACCAAAGAATCCATGAAAATTCATCTGTGAAAAGTTTGCACCTATCATTACAGGTGTAACTTCAAATTCTGTAAATCATGCTCTGACAAACATAGTCATGTTGATTGATTCTTTACTCCATGAGCAGTAATAGATCAAAGTCCAGTACAAAATGATAAGCTTGCTTCTGTTTTCTCCCGCATACAAATCAGAAATGAATGTAAGGCAAAGATTTTTAGAAGTCACCATACTGGTATGAAAAAATATTATGACATCTGCTAGACACTGGAGATAAACAAACATAAATAACATTCTTTAATTCTTTTCTCCTAAAAATTATTTATAGGTAACCCATTATTAACCAGCAAAGTCAACGTTATAATAAACGTCTTGGATGTCAATGAGTTTCCTCCTGAAATTTCAGTTCCATATGAGACATCTGTATGTGAAAATGCCAAACCAGGACAGGTATTTCAAATGACTATTTTGCCTTTCCTTTTCTCATTCTTTATAACCATGAAAAATCATGGTTTTCAGAAATGACATCATGTTTAGTATTATTTTGCAAATAAAATGCATTGTAAGTATTCATCTTTTAGATTTCTGCTTGTTGACATTTATTTCTGGTCCTTTTATTTTATGATCTCTGATTATATGGACCACAGTCACTTGGTCCACTGTGCAGGGAACAGCTATGACAGGAGAAAAAAGCTCTTAATTTTAGATACTCAAATAGAGCAGTAAAATTGAGGTCAAGGAAGTAAACACAACAGGCTGGATTACACATTTCTCTGTGTCCTATCCACAGAAAAAGAACCCACAATGCCAAAGTCAGTCCTCCCGAAAGCTTGCTTTTATAAACAGTTTCAAACATATATACAACATGGAAAAAGTACAGAAATAGAATGTTGTCCAAGACTTGTAACTTTGCCTGTTCAATTATGAGGTAACTATCAGCCATGGAAGGAACATAAGCAGCCTGCTTTGTCATTAGTAAATTCTCTTTATATGTATGTAATATGTAATCAGCCTATGTGATTTCTATTACTTTTATTACAGATATGTCTGTGACTTCATATAATATTCCTCTCTTTTTCACTTTTTTGTATTTTTCATGTTCCAGTTACTTCTCAGAAAACTTAAATTAGCTTCTTGTTTAACAGACAAAGCCATCAGTTTTTTCTCCAGATACTAATAATAGAGAAGGCGATCTTTTACTGGGAAGGCAGAGATAGGCAGTAAACTGGCAACAATTATAAATATTTTGTTACATAAATAATTGCCTAAAATTCTTGGCACAAAAATCTAGATCAGTGGAAATCCTACTATGAGGTATCCTAACTTCACTGTCCTCATCTGAAATCTCATAGATCCCCATCTACTCTGAGACTCAAAAGTTCATGTCCAAATACTCCATCATGCCTAGATGGTGCAGACCTTAAAAACCTCTCCATTTCATCTGAAGATGTAAAATCAGGGTGCACTACTAGCATGTACTAGTCCTAGCAGTAATATTAGAAGTAACTGATAAAGTGAACCGTCTTTAATTAATCAACTTACTTGCAAACAATCACTAGCGTTTTGATAAAATGACAACTATTAGATGCTTCTTTTTATTATTATAGGGGAATTTCTTCTGATTTTCTTTCTATATGTCAAAACAAGACTTTCTGGGATATTACATGATCTCTAGGGACTGTAGCATTCAGACTCCTTACCTCCACCATCCAACCCATTAAAGGGATGAGAGTAATCCATAAGGATTGCCCTTCACTTGTTTCACTTTCCACTTTAACAAAACTATGTCTTTTAGAAGTCTTTAGTGAACTGACTTCAAAATTAATCTTAATCTGGTTTCAGGTAATACAGACTGTCACTGCCACAGACAAAGATTTGTCACCAGCTGGGCAAAGGTTTTCCTTCAGACTGTCACCTGAGGCTTCCAACAAACCAAATTTTACAGTCCATGACTACAGAAGTAAGTTGCTTACCCATATATCTCTTTCAGAAAGCAGGCTGTGATTATAATGACCATTATGATTACTTTGTATTCCAGGCATGCCCATAGAAATTTTATTTTATACATTTCTAATTGTTAATTATCTAGAACAGAAATGAATATAAATTCAGGTCTTACACCTCCTCCCATTTTTAGGGGCCAGAAATTGTCAGAACACCAAAGACTGAGATTTTCTTACAGGCCTGCAAAAACACTGCTACATGTTTTATTACTTCCTTCTATCATTCAGTTTATCAGGAAGAACTCATATATCAATACAGGTTTATGTTTAAACAAAGCACTAATGCTGCCTTGTTTAAATATTTCTATTTTTCAAACTGATTTCAAAACATGCAGCTATCATTCTTTCTGAAGGACACATAGTCCTATAGGAGAATTAGTTCTAAATATGAACAGTGTTGCTGCAATATAATATTCTACAACACTGAATAGCTTGTGGATTTACATGATTAACTTCATTGATTTTTCCCCTTTTTGTCACTACTGACAATATTACCTTTATTTTTCATTTGAAGCTTCCACTTAATGGCAAAAATCCAACTCAGAACTTTTTTGTTACTTACTTTTCCCTAGTTTTCCTTTTGGTAGAGAAATCCTTTACTCCAGTTGCCAGTCTATATTTTTATATAGAAATCAACAACTAGCATCAACTTTGCAATGTTAGTTACACTGTACTATGTTTCTTGATCATATGGTACCTCCTCTGATCACATGACTGAAAATGCAACAACTATAATTGAGGTAACGTGACTGATATAATGAGTAATGGCAAAAGCTAGCAAACCTACTGTAAAGGCATAGCAACTACTCAGGTCCTTTATGAGATAAGGTGAGCCTCATGTTTATGCTTGCAAAGATCATGGAGTAGATCCTCCTGGAAGCTATATTAAAGCACATGGGAGAAGAGGAGGTGATCCAAGTCAGCTGGCAAGGCTTCACCAAGGGTAAATTGTGCCTGGCCAATCTCATGGCCTTCTAAGAACAGAGTGAAGGGTGGAGGCATCAATGGCCAAGGGAAGGGTAAATTATATTGTCTACTTGTGTTTGTGCAAGGCCTTCGACAAGGTCCCACACTACATCCTTATCTCTGAATTGGAAATATATGAATTTGAAGAGTGGACTAATCAGTGGATAAAGAACTCATTAGTGAATTCCGTTAAGGTGCATCATAGATAGTTAAAACCAGCTTACAAGTGAACAGAAAATTTCACTTAATAATTTGTAAATACAGTATGTAATGAAAACATAATAATTCATAAAATTGCAGATATGATAATATTAACTTATTAAATCAAAAGTGTGTACTTTTTAGCATTTTTTCTGAGTCCATTCAAGTACTTATCTTGAGACAGATTTCAGCAAATGTGAAGGACAGCCTTGTAAAGGAATGAAATCCCCTCCTATTCTTGGAAGATTACATCATTATTCTTCTGAAGTACTTAGCCTAAACAGTTTGAATTCAACATCTATTACTCTCTAAAAATGCTGTAGCATTTCAACATCTAACTATAGTTATGCCAAGAAAGATTTAAATGTTTTGCATCATTTGTCCCATTAGACCTAATGGTGAAGATCGCTTCTTCTTAATAATGCACTACAGCTGCTATTTTCCATTCTCTGATTAGCTATCTGTAGTATTTCCTTGGAAAACACAAATTCGCTATCTTCTGCTCTTTGTTTGGTAATAACAGAGTGTCATTTTTTTTGCTACATCAAGTATATCTCTAGAAAACATAAATGTCATAATTTTTGAGTTCGAGATTATGCTAGTATCAAGAAGGTACTTTGTGAGAGGAATTTTGGCTTTATTTGAGGAATTGATTTTGTTCATCACATTACACTTAGTGCTTTTACAAGTAAATATATGTACTAACATTTTTAAACACACCAAGAAGTCTAATAAGCAGTGCTGTCTGTAATGATAAAATCGTTGGTGTTGTGAAATAACACTAGATATAATGTGTTTGTAGTGCGTCTGAGGAGACCTGATAACAGGGGATATAAGAAAGAAGGGATAGAATCTTTAGCAGGATCTGATAGGACAAGGGGAAATGTTTTCAAACTAAAGTAGGGGAGATTTTTATTGAATAAAAAGAAGAAAAAAAAAATAATATGAGAGTAGTGAAGCACTTGAATGTGTTGCCCTTGGAGGTGGTGGCTACCTTGTCCTTGGAGACATTCAAGGTCAGACTTTGAGCACCGTGATCGGGCTGTAGGTGTTCCTATTCATTGCAAGGGAGTTGGACTGGATGACCTTTAATGGTCCTTTTCCAATTCAAATAATTCTATGATTCTAGAACAAACTTTTTCAGGCCTTGTACTCCCCAGAATATAACTTACTGTGAAGATAAGCAAGAGAGAATCTCAGTGTGCTAACTAGAGTCTCTATTAAAACAGTTTGAAGAACCAGAAGCTGGTAAGATGAATAATTTTATATTCATAATTTTTATGCTGTGCAGATGATAAAACAAAGAAAGAATAAACTGAAGATGGAAGTTGGCTAGATTAAAACAATTTTGAAATACTTTGATTTTTCAAAGCTAATTGTCACTGAACTTGATAAGTCTGTATGCCTGTTTGACAAAATAATGACATCTGAAATAAACATTCAGTCAGCCAAGTGCTCTCTGAATTGTAGCCATTCGTAATGTACCTGATTTTGGATATTTAGGCTTCTTTTCTTATTGTCCTTATTCAGAACTTCATAACTGTTGAATTCAGGGGCCTTATTTCTTCTACATACTATAAACCTCCAAGAAGGGATAAAATCTATAACATACACAGCAAATAATATCTTCTAAGCATATAGTAAAGTGTATGGATGGGATGGAAAAATGGTTACTGCTGCAGGCTACCTTCAATCAAATCTGACAGCTAATTGATTGCCTGTTAATTTTATTTTCTTTTTGTTTTCAATGTAATTCTTCTAATCTGCACATCATTTCCTTGCTGCTCTGTTTGATTCAGGCAAAGTTGTGATAACTGACTAACTACTGGGAAGAAATGACAAAATATAATTTCTAGGAGCTCTGAACTTATTTGTGACTAATTGAGGAAAATGTACTAATTATAGTTCATTACAGTACAGTACAGTTCATTTCTGTACTCTTAATAGGGCAAGGAGGTTGAAAGGGTTTTGTATTTTGCACAAGTATCTTACTTTCTTTTTTCAAAAGAAATTGAATGATTTAATGGAGTCTTGATCTAAATCCACCTGCAATTAGAGTCATTTGGAACATAGTCCTGGGCTGGAAATTATATATTGTTTGATTCTCTGCAAAAAAGGAAATCCCTTAGCTACACCAATCAGAATACAATTCCTTTTGTAACGATAAGACAAGACAAATACATAAGAGCATGTCATTCACTGAGTTTCAGAAAAGAAACAGCTTCCAGTAGTAAAGTTGATACAAACATCAAGGGTAAATTATGTGCGCAATGAAAATCCTATAATGTCTCTCATGTTTTACAGACAACACAGCTGGGATTGAAACCAGGAGAAATGGCTACAGCAGGAGGCAGCAAGAGCTGTACTTTCTTCCAGTGGTAATAGAAGATAGCAGTTACCCTGTCCAGAGTAGTACAAACACAATGACTATCCGGGTTTGCAGATGTGATTCTGATGGTACCATCTTGTCCTGCAATGTGGAAGCAATCTTCTTGCCAGTAGGCCTCAGTACAGGAGCATTGATTGCAATCCTGTTGTGTATTGTTATACTTCTAGGTTAGTTCTCATTATACCATTTCAAGTATGTTATTCCGACTCATGTGTTAATTAATTTGTGATCCTGTTAGCTTAAACAAATGTTTAAAAAAAACACTGAAACTGTGTGGATGTTCTTGAAAATTTGCATACTTCTAACTTTCTAGAAAAGCATCCCAAATTACTGACCAGAAATGTCAGTCTGCTAACACCTACATGTTTCTTATAGCATGGAAAGATAAGCTTTCAGTAGAACTTAAGCTGCAACATTTGTCTGAAACACTTTCACTGAAGTACTTTTCTTGAAAAACTTCAATTTCTTAATATTACTAAAGTAAACAAGCCCTACTGACAGTAATAGCAGTAAAAACTTAGTAAAGGCCTTTGTTTAACTTTTAATACCAGCTTGAGAAAAAGAGTGATAAAATGAAGGAGGAGAAAATTATAGTAATGCAGACTGTGACTGGCTAGATCACTGTAGAATTTGACAGAAATGTATTAATTTCAGGCAGTCATGGATTCCATTACACTGCATCATCATTTGAATCTATACTACATTTAAATAACATATTGTTTATAGCATACCCAAGGCAGTCCATACCTGTCTGCATCCTACATACAGTATGTCTTTAATGAATTGGTAATCAATTAAATCCAACTTTGTAACTTACACAGGTTCATTGTGAGCAGCTTAGTACAAACTAATTCTTAGATATGCTATTCTATGCCCCTTCTCGATGCTAGGGGGCTGCCTAAATCTCATACTAATTGTTGCATAGATCTATTGACAAACAAGAAGAGCTGAGATACTGAATATAATATATGCATTTGCATTTGAATGAATATAGTAATTTATAGCTTAAGCGAAGTACTACAGACTTGGATTTGCATTAGGAGTTTCTGAGTAGTGGGTAAAATTTAGAATTTTTATTCTGTCTGAAATATTTTTGTTGTGAGAAATACGTTTCAAATCAGAATTGGAATGGTAAATTAATGGTAAACTTTAAAAGATTTTTAAAATATACTTAAAAAAAAAAAAAAAAAAAAAAAAAAAAAGCCTTATGACAGCTTCCTGGGTAAACCCTGTAAGTAGTCAAGAATGAGATTTGGCTTTCCAAAAAAATCTACTGTGAGTAATAGTTTTCAGCTATTCAGTGTGAAGAGATCATAGAATCATAGAATGGCTTCAGTTGGAAGGGACCTTAAAGATCATCTAATTCCAAACCCCCTGCCGTGGTTGCTGACCACTAAATCAGGCACTATGTCAGGCTGCCCGGCGTCCCATCCAACCCAGTCTTGAACGTCTCCAGGGATGAGGCATACACAGCTCCCTGGTCAGCCTGTTCCAACGCACCTCACTCTCAGTGAAAAATTTTCCCTAACATTTATTCTAATTCTCTTGCCTTTTAGTTTATACCATTCCCTCTTTTCCTATCACTATCTGCCTGTGTAAAAAGTCAATTTTCCTCCTGTTTATAAGCTCCTTTTAAGTACTGAAAGGCTGCAATGAAATGTCACTGAAGCCTTCTCTTCTCCGGACTGAAGAATCCCAGCTCCCTCAGCCTCTCTTCATAGGAAAGGTTCTCCAGTCCTCTTCTTTATGGCCCTTCTTTGGACCTGCTTCAACAGCTCTGCATCTTTCTTATCCTGGGTGCCCCAGATCTGGCTGAAGTACTCCAGATGGGGCCTTACAAGGGCAGAACAGAGGAGTACAATCCCCTCTCTCTCCCTACTGGTTGGTCACCCCCTTTTTTTTTTTTTTTTTTTTTTTTCCCCAAACTGCAGATGCACTCTGTTGGCATATGTGAAACATTTCATTCACCAGGACAAATGATGAGTCAATTAGAACTCCATTTTAAGGCAGGATTCTCAGGTCATCTAGTCTCTAATACAGAGCAAAGTGCTCTAAACTTCTAAAAACATAGATGTAATAAAATCTTTTAGGCTTTCACCCCTGTGATCAGTTTGTATGATGTGAACCATGAAGAACCTTAACTAGAGAACCCGACAGTTCTAATCCATTGATTAATTACACTACCCAAGTTTCTGGGTAAATGCAAATATTTGAAGTCTGATTTTCCTCCTAAGTCTGCTAGGTAATTATGTGGGCCTTCAAGAAAACTGTGTTTATGTTTCTTTAATAGTTTCTAGAAACAAATAAAAAATTATTTCAAAAACTCAGCATATTCAGTCAAATACAATTATGTCAAAGAACTCATCAACTCTGACTCTGATGGATGCTCTCAACGTGTATGATGCTAATGAAAATATTTTAATTCCTACTTTCCAAACTAAATTACTGAGATTATATTAGGAAAAGAGGCTTTGGTCTTTTAATAGCTCCCTTCATTCCAATCAATCTAGTAATACTATTAGGAAAACTAATGTATAAATAGTGAGATCTCCAGTGATGTGTATGACATAATAGAATGGAATTTGTCTTATACCAATTTTATTTTTTTTCCCCCGTAATAATAGTAAATTGATAAATCTTAAAGTTCCTTTAGGATTTTTATTATTGCTGTGAAGCTGGTCTCACACAATCTTTAAAACTCTACTTGAAGTCATTCTTACTGAGCTCACTTCCACATAAGAAGCAGTCAATATATTAGCATCAGGAGTTATTTTATTCTATGCACACTGGACCATGAATTTACAACCATTGCAACTCTTTTCTTTATTATATTACTTCACAAATAGTGCTTAGAACTCTATAATTTTTACCAAAGGCATTAGGAAATTTAAAAAAAAAAAAAAAAATTACCAGTTCACTACTACCAGGTTTCTCCTTTCCCAAACTATTGGCAATAAAACCACACCACAAAACAATTTCCTTTGAGTACAAAATCACAGTTGGAAGGCACTTCTGGAGATTAACTAGCCCAGCCTCCTTGCAGGGCCTTTTAGAGAATGGCTGCATTCAGTTGAGGCTTGACTATAACTAAGGATAGATGCAACACTACTTCTCTGAGAAAAACATGATCTAGTGCTTAACCATTGTGACAGTAAAAAGCTCATATTTTAATGGAATTTCCTGTATTTCAGCTTTTGCCCACTGTCCATTGTCCTGTCACTAAGCTGAGAAAGCTCAAGCTCCCTCTTCCTTACTGCCTTGTCAGGTATTTAAGCATACTGATCAAAGATCTCCCTGAGTCTTCTCTTCTACAGGATGAATGTTTTCAGATTTCATCTTGTCCTTGTATGTCAGATGCTCCAACCATTTAGTCATTTTTGTGACCTTTTGGTGGATTTGCTACAGAAAGCCCATGTCTGTCTTTCACTGAGGAGCTGAAGCATGGAAGCTGAAGCACTACAGATATGCCCTCAGCAGTGCTGAGCAGAGAGGAAGAATCGTCTTCCTTGACTTGGTAGCAACATTTTTCCTAATACAGTCCAAACTGCTGTTGGCCTTCTTTGCCTCAAGAGCACATTGCCGACTCATAGTGAACTTGCTGCCCATCACCATCTCAGTCCTTGTCTACTGAGTTTCTTTCCACCTAGTCAGGTCATAGTATTTACTGGTACATAGGTTTATTCCTCTCCTCATATGGGACTTGGCATTTCCCTTTGTTGAACTTCATGGGATTCCTACTGGCCCATTTCTCCAGTTTGTTGAGGTACCTCTGAATGATGGCACCGTTACCTGTTTTTTTATCTTCTGAAAACTTCCAGAGGGTATATGCTATTCTTCATCATTAATGAAGATGTTAAACAAAGCTGGTTCCAGCACCAATCCCTGTGGTACATCATTAGTGAATGGCCTCAAATATCTGGGTGTTGATCACAACACTTAGAGCCTCACAGTCTGTCTAGTTTTGCAGTCCACCTCACTGTCTACTTATCTACTCCATACTTCCTCAGTTTTATAATAAGTTTGTTATGCCAGATAGCATCACTTTGCTAAAGTTAGGATAAATAACATCCTCTGCTAATCCATCAGCCACCTTGCTGTAGAATGCTATCTGGCAAGTTAAGCACATTTTCCCCTTTATAAATCCATGTTAACTTCTCATCATTTTTCCTGTTCTTGATGGGCTTGTAAATGGTGTCCAGAATTATTTCCTCTATCACTTTTGTCAGGATCAGATGTGAGACTCACTGGCTTGTAGTTCCCTCTTGTCCTTTTTTAAGATAATGACGACAATTTCTCCAATCCTCAGAAACTTCTCGTAATACCACGACATTTCAAAGATAATCTCCAATGGCCTTGTAATATCAGTCATCTCCCTCACTACTGTTTACATCCTGTCGAGGTTACCGTCCTTGTGTGTGTCCAATTTTTTTTTATGTTTTCCCTAATCTTTTCCACTTCCATCAAGAATAAATTTTTCTGGCTCCAAACTTTCCCTCTGTCTTCAGGGATCTCTGTCTTATGAATACAGACAGAGGCAAAGAAACCATTCAGCACCTTTGCTTCTCCTGTGTCCTTTGGCATCAGCTTCCTTGTTCCATTCATCACGAAAAACACATTTTCCCTAACTTCTTCTTGTTATTTAAATACTTGCACAAGCCCTTTGTGTCCCTCTTAGGTGTAGGTGGGCTTTGGCTTGCCTAACCCTACCCCTGCAAATTCAGGCATATTTGTCCTGGCTTATCTGTCTCTGCTTCTGTTCTTTAGTCAGGAGATATTCAGTCGTTCACACAGGCTTCCTCCTGCCTTTGCTTGATTTCCTGCTCATCAAGATGAAACACTGTTGAGCTTGGAAGAGGTGATAGCTGAAAACCAACCAACTCTATGGGACTTCTTTTCTCTCCAGAAACATTTCACGTATCACACGTCATTCTTCAAAATTCAGAGAGGCAAAAAAATGTACTCTATAAAATACTGAACTTAGACTTCCTTTGTCCATCTCAGAAATTCCTATTTATTTACTTTTATTTTTCTCTTCAACACTGCTTTGTTGTGGTTGCTGTTGTTTTAGTTTTCTGTTTATTTTGTTTTCTCACCAGGGTAAGTTTAGATTTGCCAAGGTAAGTTTAGGTTGGATATCAGGAAAAACTTCTTTACAGAAAGGGTAGTTATGCACTGGAATAGGCTCCCCAGGGAGGTGGTTGAGTCACCATTCCTGAATGTGTTTAAAAACCATTTGGATGTGGTGGACATATTTAGCAGAGGTTGTTAGAGTTAGGGTAGTATGGTTAGACTTGATGATCTTTTTAATGTCTCTTCCAACCTGAGCAGTTCTATGATACTATGATTCTATAATGTCAAAAATTGGGAATTTTTCTCCATTAAGCTATGGAACACATTTAAAAAACAATCCCATCTCTCTCTATGTGAAATGAAAGTCCTATCCATCCCTACTTTTTGCATAAAGCAAGACAGTAAGAAAATTATGTGTTACTTCCTTCACAGCAAACTCTAAAGAAAGTTAGATTCATACATCAAACAGCAAATGACTTTTTATTGGATAGAGCACAGCTATTTTTACAATAATAGCAGAAGTCTATCTTCTAAGGAAAGAAAATCCTTTTGATTGCTTGCAGCTTTCAAAGGAAGTATAATGATATATCATCAGAGTACCAAATTATTTCTATGCATGTCTTAACTTCAGTTTTCTCTCATTACAGTCATTGTAGTACTATATGTAGCACTACGGAGACAGAAGAAAAAAGACACCCTGATGACCTCTAAAGAAGACATCAGAGATAATGTGATCCATTATGATGATGAGGGAGGTGGAGAAGAGGACACCCAAGCTTTCGACATTGGTGCTCTGAGGAATCCCAAAGTGATTGAAGATAACAAAATGCGCAGGGACATAAAACCAGACACCTTGCGTTTTCCACGTCAGAGACCTCCAGTGGAAGACAACACAGACATAAGAGATTTCATAAATCAGAGGCTGCAGGAAAATGATATTGATCCAACTGCACCCCCTTATGACTCCTTGGCAACCTATGCTTATGAAGGAAATGGGTCTGTTGCAGAGTCCCTCAGCTCTATAGAATCCCTTACTACAGAGGCAGACCAGGATTACGACTATCTGAGTGACTGGGGACCTCGTTTTAAGATATTAGCAGACATGTTTGGAGAAGAAGAAAGTTATAACCCTGATAAAGTCACTTAAGAACAAATACAACAGTGAAATAAAAAGAAAAGCAAACCAACAACAAATAAAAAAGATAAACCCAAGCTTTATAATAGGACAGGATTCCTTTGATTATAAAAGACAGCAATTGTTTCCAGCAAGTTACTACATTTATCATAATGTCAGTTTTTGTTTGATCTGCAAAGAAGAGATAAATCCTGTAATATACACAGTTTTTTGTTGTTCTTATTTTGTTACTCTGGAATTACACTGAGACAAGCTCAGGCCTACAAGGTGCAGTTTACTGACTGACTTAGAAAGAAGATAGCTTTCTGGCATCATGGTGGAAGAGTGGTAGCTTTTTCGTAATTCCACTAAAGTGCCTATTGAAACTTTTATCATTTAATTGGTAAAGAGTCTGCTGTGATGGTGTTACAAAACTGAATGGTGAATTGGACATGGACTTTAAGACAAGAAGCAATAGCAGTATGCTGACTTCTTATAGAACAAAAATGGAGATAACTTCCCAGAGTATATCTAATGATTAAAACTAAGAGAGATGTACATTGTGTTTGGGGGTTATATTTGTGGGTTTTTTTAAAGAAGAAAACACTATTTCAAGACATTATATTTCTTCTTCCAAAATTTCACTGAAAATTGAAATTTAAAATGCTATTGCTGACTCTGAAGATGTAAAGCCAAAATTAAAAAGGAAAAGATTTTAGCATACATCAATGAATATTTAAAAGTTCATGAAAATATTTCATTTTTTTCCAGAATAATAAAAGATGAAAGCAGCTACTCCTTTACATGAAGGAAATCTCCCTTTTTAAAAATGTGACTATTAGAAAATTAAATAGATTTTTTTTTTAATTTCTATTTGTTTGTTTGTTTGTTTAGGAATATTGTTGTATTTTTAGTACCATGTCATTTTTTTTCCCCTTGTAGTTATCATTGAAGTAGTACATGTAAAGAACTCCACATCAATTTTCTTTGCAACAACTAGTTTGTTCATCTTTGGGTACTGTAGAAATACATACTACAGAGATAATTATTTTTCAACGAATCACCTGCTACAGTTCACTATATTTTAGTGTCAGACCCTTATTAAAAATTTGAATCCTTATTCTGTAATTTTTTCTTCATAAAATCATAGAATGGTTTGAGTTGTAAGGGACCTTACAATCACCTAGCTTCACCCTGTCTGACATTGGCAAGGGACCCTTTCCACTAGCACAGACTGCTACAAAGACCAATCCAATCTGCTATTGAACACCTATAGGAATGGGGCATTCATGACTTCTCTGGGCAAGTTTTTTGTGCCTCACCATCCTCGTATTAATAATTTCTTTCTAATATGTACTCTATTTTGTTGTTGTTGTTGTTCAAAATCATGACATATTGTCCTAATGAAATCTATTCCTTGACAAAATATTAACAGACAGAACAAAAACATGACAGTATATTTCTCCACTCTTTATGTTCATACCCATTCATAACCATAGCTGTGCAAATAACAAAATTACATATATTTGCAAGTCACTATGCCATGGAAGAGCACTTGTAAACTATTTCATGTATTTTTATTTATTTATTTATTTTTCTGATGATGATTTAAGGAACTTAAGGATGATTTAAGGAATACACATTTTGTAAGACAATGGCTTATGGCCCCCGAAGTGCATGCATCCTTATATTCTCCTTCTAAAATCTCTGCCATGCTATACAATATGTTCAATCTCTACTCATGATTACTGGCAGCGGCAAGGCAAACCTAAGTCTTTCAGATCTACAACTTAGTTTTTGTGCCACTGAAGAATTAATAGCTACCAGATACTCTTAGATCACATACCTGATTAACATACCCAAAGTACCCTCTACTCTCTTCTAAATGAGAAGGTATTACAAAGCTGTATAAATGACTCTTCCAATAAGACTTTAAAATGCATATTGCTTAAATAAATTTAGAGTTATATGGTAAAATTGGACAGGGTTGCATTAAAATCACTGTCAGTGTAGATTATACCAGCAGATAGCTGAGGTGTAATGCAGCACACAGTAATAGGAAATGTTTTGTATTGGTGGGCTTGTGTATTTCTTTTTCATTATTAGTCAAATAACTTATGTTCCTTGGATGACAAACTAAGGCAACAAAAGCTCTCACCAAATATTACGGAAGCAGATGGATTAACAAGGCCCATTTACTACCATAACAATTTTAATTTCAAAGCTACTGTTTTTAATTTTTGTGCATGATAGCATAGCAAGATCAACTACTGCAGAGTAGACCTCAAACAGAACTCTTAAAAAAATGTTTACAAATGTGTAATCTTAAGGTCAAGCTCTGCTCTTTGTAAGTGTATTGGTCCTTTACAAGTATTATGGAAGTAAAATCATGAAAGTGATACTGAGTGAACATGAGGGCTCTCAAATTGCTCAGAGCATTTGCTCTGAGCAGGACAGTCTGTACAGGAACCTAACATCTAAAATGAGTGCACAGAAAATGTGATTTAATCATGCTATTAGACAAAATTCAGATACAACCGTAGTTGTTTTATGCTGAATTAGTGACAAATTGAATATCAAATGCATATTTTTGACATTCAAGAGCTTTATAATTGAGATGTTTCAATCACATCAATCACATTATTAATAAGCCTCCAGGAAGATTTAAATATATATATATATATAATTACTGATGCAATTATGCTATAAAATCTTAATTAAAATCTAAGACTTTTTTCAAGGGGTGATCAAACAATTTTAAATTAAAGAGGTTGTTTTTGTTTTTGTTTTTGTTTTTGTTTTTGTTTTTGTTTTTTGTAAACAGCTCTGTGAAACTAAGGAAAATCTTCACTTTATATTCACACACAATTTGTTTTATTCCATGTTCTATCACTCTCTTTCTAAAAGATGCATGCCAGGTTTTAAGACTTTGATTTTTAAAAGGTAATTAAACAGATATGAAGTTTATAAGATTTAAATAAGATATCTGAGATGATATGAAGTCAATGGGACTAAGGAACCCCAGTACATTTGTGAACTGTACTAGGTATGTACTTTTGTTTTTAAGCACTGTATCTTTGAAAAATCCCTAAAAGACTTGTATAATCCATATCTCACAGTGGATGATTGTCTTTCTCTGGTCTATGGAAAGAGCCATAAGATCTCATGTTGTATCAGTGACAGGAAACTGCTTACGAAAAAGTAAAAGGCACTGAAGTGGTGGACTCAAGAAAAATGCTTTTCATTCTAATTTCCAAACATGAGAACACAAACATTTGGCATCATCTTAAATGTCTGAATGGTGCTCCCCTCAAAACACAAAACATTCTGTAAAATGTCTTCAAGTAATCTAGCTTGTAAGATTATATTGTGGACATACAGAACTGAAGACAAATTTATCACAATCCTTTGAAAGAAATTTTATGTGTCCTGAAAACATCATGACTTAGGATAGTTCAGACCATTTCATAGAACGTAAAAGATTATTAATATATGGATTTAAGAGTGCTACCTCACAAATCTGAAAATACTGTTATTCTTGAAATGCAGATTTACAATATTGTGAGATAACAAAGATTTGGAAAGCAATGACAGTAGACAATGTCTGTGGCACAAAGGTCTGTTTGAATATTTTATACTTCCAAAATTTTTACTTCTACAAATTTTATAGGTTTGCTCTGAATTTTGCTGTTTGAAAATAAAATCAGTTGATGAGGATTTCCTCTGAGTTATGAAAGCAAAGTTCATTATTATGGAGCAAAGAACAATAAATGACTCAAAATATTGCTGATAATATTATTCTAGACAACACTTTGCAAATGTTTTTGCCTTAACAAGATGTCAATTTTCAAATAAACACAACTGATCTTTCACAGAATTAAAAAGTATGATTTAGCCAATGCAATACTTATTTTAAATTTCTCTCTCCATTACCATTATGAAAGAGTTCTTATGACTGCGTTGTATTAAATAACAAAATGCTATTAAGTGAATACAGAAAGAAAATACAATAATATTTTGAGTTGCTGGCATTTCATATGACATTAGTGATTGTTTTATTTGCTGAGATTTGGAGATTTGAGCTTGTAAATTATTTATGTTGTCTTTTTTTTGAGTCATTATTAACATCCCAATTCTGTGTGTATAGAAATATTTTTGAGCTTTACTAAACTTCATAAAACAAATAATGAAATGACCCCTAAAATAACCCTATGGAAGTGACATTAACTGTAAATGAAAATCAAACTTTATATTAAACCCTTCCAAACCTTCTCTTAATGGCAAATCTATAACAACCCAATTCCTTTTCTCTTCTTATTTAAATCAAGACAGAGCAGGAGAAACAGTTGCTATTTTCAGCAAAATTAAGATAAGCTCTTGGTTGTTGCTGATCGTTGTTTGTTTGTTTGTTGTTGTTATTCTGTTTGCTTCAATTTTAAACCTCCTCTACATAACTGCATTGAAAAACACCTTTGGAAAATAAATAAATAAATAAACTGTGGGGTTTACAAAAATCTATGTGCAAAAGAGAGACAAAACTGGAAAGTGTAGCCAGCATGATCCATAGGAAATGTTAGGCTTGAAATCAAGGCACTTTGCATACTGCCTTTGCCTGTGCTAATGCTGAGATATTCATAGGCATGTTTTCACTGAAAACATGTATATATTAATTATATTAATTCTTATTTATGATATTTTATTGAAAAAATAATACAAAATTATGTCAGTCTATTTGAGCAACTCTAGGCACAGGAACAGGAACTACACTTTCAATAAGAGATATGTTTTTAAAAAACATATGAATTTCCTCAAGCATGGCTTTAAAGCTTCTAAATTTAAATATGACACACAGGACAAACAAATGTGAAGAAGAGACACCAAAACAAATGTGGTATAGAACCAGAAAAATCGTCCTTTTTTTTTTTTTTTTTTTTTTTTTTTTTTTAAGTATCAGTCAACATATTTTGAATTAATTTCCATGAAAAAAATAGAAAAAACTAATGAAAATTAAAGAATATTCCTTAATTAGTCAATAAAATCCTGTTTTCTAAACATATATTTCTTTCATAAAACCTACGTTTTCTAAATTTTGGAATCAGGCTAGTACATTCAGGAAAATAGAGGAAATAATTTTAGTCATCTGGATCTGGTGGCATCTAATTTCAGTTATATATATGTGGTTTGTTGATTTTTTTCTCCCAGT